GTCTCTTTCATTCTCATCACGGTGTACAAATTCATCCCCCTCGCTTTCTCCATCTGATCTGTCAGTGTCACTGTCGTCAGTACTGTCATCATGCTTATCTTGATCCATGTCCTCAGGATAGCCGTCATCTTCACTGGTGCTGGAAACATCATCATCATGACCCCGCTGAGCTGAAAATGGGGAGGGATCATGGAACAAGTAATACGACTGGATCCTCCACTATGTGGTACCCAGAAACACAGAAAATTTTGCTATTTAACTCAGAATATAACAACTTAATTGGTTAAAAAGATCCTGTATACAGCTTTTCACACAGTCTGACGATATTTTCATTTGGCAATAATGTGTATATATATGCACAGTCACAGTGAATGTATTCAATGACGCTCTAGTCTGATGACCAAAAAGTTGAAAGGGAAACAGGTATACAAGTCTTAAGGGATTGGTAGTAAGACAGTGATATCTCTAAGAAAAGCCTAATTTAAGACATAATAAACACTTCTGTACTTCCCTTATTTATGATGATTTTACTTGAGTAGATCCTATGATTTATCTATCTGTATGTACATTAGAATGTATATTGTACACTCATGTATTTCCTAAGTTCTGTGGGTGGTAAACAATATGTTAAATAGGGCCAACATAAAAAATGATAGTGAAAAGGTTGTAAGAGCAAAAGGAATAGTCACTCCTTACCAAGTTCAGGACTATATAACATGTCTTCATCTCGCCTACGAGAAGGAAGATCTAGGGCAAAGCCCACTTTACGGCCATACATCTGCAAAACTTGAGGAGGAGGTGGACCAGGGGGAGGGCCAGGTGGTTTTCTGCCTGGGGGCAAACGTGGAACACCATGTCCAAGAAGAGGAAGGATAGAAACTGCCCGAGTTGGAGGTCTGTAAAAAAATATTTCGCAGTGATCACTTAACAGTAATGAGATATTTAATTCCTCTTCTAAATAATTTTCAAGGGATTTCTTATTTAATTAAAACGTCACACTGCTTATATCCACATTGTCTTTCATTTTCCACTGCATTCATTTTGGCACTGAATAGTCAATATGTGCTTTTAATAAATGTTCTCTGATTATGACAATTCTTCCTTACCCATAGGCTGAGGTTTTCTTAAGGATGGAGGGTGGTTGGGCACCAGGAAGTGGAATGTCCTGGATCAAAATGTTGGAAGGAGCATGTGGCATATCTGGCAAAGGAATACTCTCCACTTCCACATGCTGAGCATTCTGAAACAGAGAGAACCTTTCAGTAGTACGATAAAAAAGTAATCTACATACTCAACACTGAAAATGACATGTCATCTGTTTCATAACTTGGATTTCCTTTCCAACCAACATAAATATCACAAAAAAAACCAGGCTAGAATGCCTCAATACTTCCAAAGACTGTTAAAGAACTGAAAAAAATCTGTCTCTATAAAAACCAAAATGCAACTGTTTCCCCCCCCCTTATTATCAGCTGATTCTTTTTGGATATAATTTGAAATAGCTGCTGTTTACGGAAATCCTATTGTTAAAAGTATCTAGCACCAACATTACCCTATTTAATATTCTGGGTGATAGAAGAATAATACGTATCAATTAATAAATAGTATATATCCAGTGGTAGAGCTTGGGCTCTACAATTAGCCTGCCTTTGTTGAATTTTATTGTATTAGCTATTAAGACACTAAGTGAGTTACTTTAAGTGTCCTTACCTATAAAATGGAACCCATACTACCTACTTGACAAAAATTACACCACTTGATTTTTTCCCACTTTTATTTTGAGGTAATATTTACAATGAAATGTACAAAATCAATGAGTTTTGACAAATGCATATACCTCACATTCCTTCCCAATCAATTCCTAACACCATCCCAAGGCAACCACTGCTACAATTTTCTTCCCTGCACACATTAGCTTTGCCTGTTCTAGAGCTTCATAAAAATGGAATCATAACTATGAAAGCTTAGCATGTTTTCAAGATTTATCCATGTTTTTTTCTTTCTTTTTTTATTCCATGTTGTTTTGAGCATTAGTAGATAATTCCTTTTTATTGCTGAGTAGTATTATCACTGAGTAGTACCTATTGCAGAAATATTCTACACTCTGATTACCCATTATCCTATTAATGGGCACCTGGCTGTTTCCTGTTTTTGGCTATTATTACTGGGTTGGTAGATGAATTAATTTCCTGTGTAATCACAGAGGCTAGCTGGCTCGTGGGGTAAGTATATGTTTAGTTTTATAGGAAATTGCCATGAGGAAGAGATTCAATGTGATCAATTCTCCCATTAACTTTTAAGAGCAAATCTAAGTACAGGGTTGGACAACCCTAATTTGAAAATCTGAAATGCCCAAAAT